AAAAAAAAAAAAAAAGACCAGGTTTGTTGGTCTGATAGAGCCTGGTGGAACCCCTGAGACTATGGCCCCTAGCTGCCCTTTAGGTCTGGAACTGAATCCACTCTTGTGGCTTCCAGCCAAACGAAAGACAGGCATATGAGCTGAACATTTACATGAGGTAGATATACTCCTTGGAGTGGGAGAGTAGAAGGACTGTGTATGCACAGGGAGACAGCTCAGAGGGCAGGAGTGCATGGGAGGGAAGGACACAGGGAAGAGGTAACTATGGGGAGGAAGTGGGAGGACAGCTGTTGCATTGTGGGAAGCTGCAGTCAATGTCATGAGACAAAGTGTATGTGAGTTGCTGTGTGGAAAGTGAACTTGCTCTGTAAATTTTTACCCAAATCACAATAAATTATTTTTTTTTTAAAAAAAAAAGAGTTATAGCTAAAAGATCAGGCTTATTAGTCTGATAGAAACTGGTGGAACCCCTGAGACTATGGCCCTTAGACACCACCTTTCAAGACTAGAACTGAACCTACCCGCATGGCTCAACTTTCAGCCAAATAACAGACAGGCCTATAAGGTGAGGAGGTACACACTCCCTGGAACAGCCAACCACACTAGATCAAAAGGGCAGCCTTGCCCAGGGATGAAGCTTGGAAGGCAGGAAGCGACAGGAAAGGACTAAGGAAATGACAGTCAGGGAGGCAGTGGGCAGCATGCTGCCCCCTTGTGGTGACTGTAACCAATGTCATAAAACAGAATGTGTGTGAATTGCTGAGTGGAAAACCAGTTTGCTGGTTTCGCTCAAATCACAATCTACAAAGAAGAAGAAGTTAAAGGGGACTCTAGATCAGACTATGTCTGAATTACCACAGCTGTAAAAAGTAGCTAAGAATGGTGAGAAAAAGGGAAAAAAAAAAAAAAAGATCTATGGCTAAAGATTGAAAACTACAAATCTTGGTCAGCAGTCAGCAAATTTTCTGTAAGAGGCCAGAGAGTCAATGTTGTAGCCTTGGTGGGCCACAAGGTCCCTGTTGCAACCACTCAATGTTGCCTTTGTAGAGCAGCCAGAATGGCACAGAAACAAACACCCAGCCAGATGTGGCCCATGGGCTACAGTTTTCCGACCCCTGGTGTAAACCTTTCCTGAGCCCCTTCCAGTCTGATATGTACAATCACTACCACGTATTAAGGAGACTTGGTGGCGCAGTGGTTATGTGCTTGGCTGCTAACCAAAAGGTCAGTAGTTTGAACCCACTAACTGCTCTGTAGGAGCTCTGGTGGCATAGTGCCTAAGGCATTTGTCTGCTAACCAGAAGGCTGGTGGTTCAAACCCACCAGCCACTCCTCAGAAGGAAAATGAGACAATCTGTCTTCTGTAAAGATTTACCCCCTCAGAAGCCCAGTGGGGTTGCTATGAGTCAGAACTGACTCGATGGCAACGGGTTTAGTTTCCATTTTACGTGTCATGAAGCTCACTAGGTACATTTGCAGGCATTTTTATCATGTTTAAGACTTACAGTGGTCTTGTAAGGTAATGAGGATGGTCCAGTTTGTACAAATGAGGAAAATGAGGCTAGGACATTCTGCCAATTGTGAGAAGAGTGTCTGTGGAGGACAAGTTATTTTAATTGATAACTGGGTAGGGGTATCCTTATCTGCAATGTGAGGTGGAAACAGAACCGCTTCCCAGGGCTGTTGACAGGATTAACTGAGTTCACCTGTGGATGCCAGGGGGCCCCATAGCTGATCCCAGACCAGAAGTGGCGGGCAAGTAAAATTCAGTTGTGAGTTGAGGATGAAAGGACCCTGTCAGCTTTCCATCATGGTACTTACATCATACTTGATGGTGAGGGTGACAGGCACACTGGACAGCTTCTGAGCCCAGTCTATGACCGCCTGGGCCAGGAGGAAGGCCGCGTAGTCTGTAGCCACCATCACAGCTGTGGCCGCCAGAAGCAGGGTGAGCAGCCCCAGCCTGAGGAGAAACCTCAGTAGTTCCTCATGGGACAGCCTTGGCCGAGCTGCTCGGAGCAGCCAGGCTGGTGGGGAGGCCACCAGGTGTGTGGCCTGGGCCTCTGGCAGCTGCCCAACCAGCTGTCGTGTGGCATAGATATTGTCAAAGCGCAGGTCAGTCAGGTAATGATGGAGGTACAAAGTGGACTCCACCAGGAGGCCCAGTACAAAGACCCCTGCGACCACCCTCTGGGCCCCCAGTGCTGCTGCCTGGGCCAGGGTCTCCAGGCCAGAGAAGTCCTCCATGATCTGCTCACTGACCTTGAGCATGTGAAGTCGGAAGGCAGAGCCATTGCCCTGGGTCTCGAACATCAAGCCCCTGCCAGTTGTCTGGCCTGCAGGGTCCAGAGCCCTGGACGCCACAAGCAGCTGGTGGGTGGTGTTAAGCAGACTCTCCAGGGAGCCCTCGGTGACACATCGTAGCACCCGCCCAGCCGCTCTCACATTGGACATGACATTGGGTACCACGGTGATGGCCAGGGTGGCAGTACTATAGGACAGGAGCAGCCGGCGACCCTGCTCTGTGCCCAGGCTGGGCATGCTGATCGCAAACAGGCAGCGGGCTGGGGGCACCAGGCTGAGGCCCAGGAAGACCAGGAGGCCACAGACAGCAGCCACCGTAGCAGAGGGTCCCAGAGGATAACGCAGCGAGGACACCAGCCAGTGGTGGGTCAGCCCTGTGGCAGCAGCGGCCAGGGAACCGCACAGGAGGAGCTGGGTCAGCAGCTGGCCACAGCTGGCTGGGACAGGCGTCGAGAAATCTTTCCAAGCGGCCTGCAGCAGCGCAAGGGCCCTGTGGAGCCCAAGGTGCCCGAACCTCCACCTGCACGTAAGGAAATTGGGAGGAATGTCTGTCAGGAGGGTGGGGGTCCCCCTAGTGCCCCTGTCCACCACACACATCACCTGCTAACAGGTCTCTTTAGCCTCAGAGACAGCAGCTTCCCAGAGGTGCCAATCAAAGCAATCACCCCATAGGCTGTAGGACACAAGCTGAACCAATCAGAGCCCTCCTCAGAGAGATAGTTTCAGTCACTGAGAGAAGCACAGATGAAAGAGAGAGAAAAGACAGAGGGGGAGAGAGAGAAAGAGAGAGAGAGACAGAGAGCAAGCAACCATTACACTTAAATTTATCTCTTGCTCGGCTTGCCGTGTGACCCTGGATACTCCTTTCTTTATGAGCCTATTTTCTCTATAATTGGAGATGAGGTGGAGGTAGACCAGTTGGCTTCTGAGAGATTTTCCCACTCTAAAAGATGGCCCAAGTGATTGTCTCCATATTTACTGTATTCATTCAACAAATATTTATTAAGCAACTATTATGTGATAGACTTTGGGGAAACAGGAGTGAATTAAACAGACAGAAATCCCTGTCCCCATAGCACTTATCAAAAACACCCACAAAAAAACCAAACCCACTGCAGTCAAGTCGATTCTAACTCACAGCGACCACATAGGACAGAATAGAACTGTTCCCATAGGGTTTCCAAGGCTGCCATCTTTACAGAAGCAAACTGCCGTGTCTTTCTCCCGTGGAGTGCCTGGTGGGTTTGAACCACTGACATCACCGATATTTTTGCTATGTGCTTTAACCATTGTGCCACCAGTGCACTCCTCATAGAGCTTACACTAAAGAGTGATAGTGGAGGAGCTAGTGTGAACAGGTGGGATTCTGCAGGTAGAGTGGGGTGTGAGAGAAAGGGAGTCCAGGATGACAATGAGGTTTTGTGTTTGAGCAACTAGCAGTCCCCAGGAGCCATGTCCTGAGATGGGGACTCTGTGGGTGGAGCTGGCTTGAGTGGAGAGAAGAGGCATTCAGCTTGAAGCTCCTCAACCTGAGATGTCTAGTTAGCCATTTGGTGAGCTGTTGAGTACAAGGTTGGAGAGACAAGTCTAGAATTCAGATGAAAAGTCAGGCTGAAGAAACAAATTAGGGAGTTGTTGACTTACAGATGGCATTTAAAGGAATAGGGCAAGATAAGATTCTTTGAGTGGAAGAAAGAGACCGAAGGATTGAGCCTCCGGGTTCTTGAATGTTAAGGGCTTAGGAGATCAGGAAGAACCAGCAAAGGAGCCAGAGACCAGGCAGTGTGTGCCTGGGAAGTCACATCAATGAAATGCTGTAAGAAGGGAGTGATCAAATATGTCAAATTGTTGGTGGGTGAAGTAAGATGGGGACTGAGCAGTGACCACTGGAATGAGCCATGTGGAGATCGCTGGTAAGCACGACAAGGGCAGTTTTGATGGTGTGTTGGAGAAACGCTTGAGCCGAGTGGGTTCAGGAGAGACTGAGGATGGGGGACACAAATGCAGACAACAGCTTCGAGTAATCTGTAGTAAAAGATCAGAGAAATGGAGTAGTAGCTGGAAGAGGAAAAGGGGCCAAGATAATTCATTTAGGACGGGAGAATTGATAGCATGTTTGCAGGTGGGAGATCCAATCGAGAGAAGAGACCCTGATGATGAAGGGGAGGCTGGTTGGAGGAACATCATTTGGTGGGTGGCAGGGAATGAGATTGAGAGCATGAGCAACGGGTTGGTCTCAGCAAAGAACAGAGTCTATTCATCCTTTACAGCAGGTAGAAGGCAGAGCACATGGACACAGATGATGGTGGATGAACAGACAAGCTGTGGGCACTTCCGAAACTTTGTCACACACAGTACACAGCAGTGGTCAAGGGCATGACTTCTGGAGTGCCTGGGTTCAAACCCCTGCTCTACCACTCACCAGCTGTGTGATCTTGGACAAGTTTCTTAACCTGTCTGTCCCTCTGTTTTCTCATCCATATAACCGTGCAATGAAAGTATGTGCCTCACCAAAGAACAAGTATATGATCCCACTTACATGAAGTATCTACAACAGGCAAATGTGCAGAGACCAAAGTTTATTAGTGGTCACCAGGGGAGGAAGGTAGGGGAAGTAGAGAGTGGTTGTATAGGGGGACACTGACCTCTGTTAAGGGTAATGGGAAAATGTGGAAACGGATGGTGGTACAGCATGATAAACACAAGTCGTATTTCTGAATTGCACCTGTGAAACACGTTGAAATGGCAAATGTTCTGTTATGTAGATACTTAACCCACTGCCATCAAGTTGATTCTGAGTCATGGTGAACCCACATGTTACAGAGTAGAGCTACTTCATAAGGGTGTCTTGGCTGTGATCTTTACGGAAGCAGACCTGCAGGCTTTTTCCTGTAGTGCCGCTGGGCGGGTTTGAACCATCAACTCTCAGGTTGATAAATGAGCACAAACCATTTGTGTCTGTGAGACACAAATGTGTATACTTACCACACATGCAAGAAAGAAAGGATAAATATATATACTTACCACACGTACAAGAAAGAAAGGATGTGCCTCAGAGATTCACTGATCTTTGCAGAGGCACAGAGCCGGCAGTTTCCGCCCTTAGCAGGCCCTGTGCCAGCTGACATCACTGGGGCATCAGCCCCTCCCGGGCACAGGGTTTGTCTCCTCCGATCACTGATGATCGCCAGAGCCCAGAAGAGTGCCTGGTACATGGCGGCTGATCCATAGTGTTTGCTGACTGTGCAATGATTGCTTCCGGCTGCTCAGGCCGGCAGGAAGCAAGGCCAGCAGTGACGGCCAGGATACGGAGGAGGTGACGGGGGCTTGAAGACAACGGAGGAGGTTGTCTTAAACAGTGGGAGAACGAATGACCCAGGGAAGGAATACACATGCTGGACAGCACCGAGGACAAACTTGAAGTTGGAGATGATGAATTTAAGTGAGAAGAGGCAATGTGGTTGCACAGTGATTGGGCAGGGAGGGTGGGGAGGCAATAGCTGTTGACTACGGGCCAAGTCCCTGACTCCCTTCACTAACCTCAGCTTGCAGGGTGGGCACATAACCAGGTCCAGCCCCTCTAAGATCCACAGCCCCCTGACCACTGTGATTGGCGCAGGGATGGGACCTGCCTTGGGACTTGGCTGGAACTGTTGAAGAAGGTTTCTTTGTCATCTGGAGAACCAAGCAGGTGGGAGAGACGCCTGGCTTTCGGGGGGTCACCATTCAGTGTGAGTCTGCTTGTGATGAAGGCAACACAGAAGCAGAGTGAGTAATGGAGGCAGGAGGTGTCCCAATGGTAGAACCAGACCTCCCTGAAGCCGGGATCTGGCCTGGACCATTCTATTGCACGGATCAGAGCATTTTCTTTTCTCTTCAGCTGGTATGAGATGAATTTTGTTACTTGCAACCAAAGGAGCCCTGGCTAATACAGGACCCTTTGTCACAGGGTCCTGTCACAGACTAATACAGGACTCTTTGACCATGAAATTCAAGAATGGAAGCAAAGCTCTTTCCACAGCATCTGACACAGATGAAAACCCAACCCAACCCACTGCTGTTGAGTTGGCTCCAACTCATAGCAACCCTATAGGACAGAGTAGACCTGCCCCATAGAGTTTCCAAGGCTGTAATCTTTACAGAAGCAGACTGCCTCATCTTTCTCCCTCAGAGCCACTGGTGAGTTTGAACTACCAACCTTTTGGTTGGCAACTGACCACTTTAACCAGTATGCCACCAGAGCTCTCTGGTACAGCTGAAGGACCCTAAAAATTGTACTCATCATTATTATTATTTAAATGCTCACTGGGCTGATCTCTGTGGATACGAACATGAATTAAGTCGTGGTCCATACACTTCAGGAGTTCCTAGTCTAGGTGGGGAGCCTTAAACAGGTCATTCGAGTTTAATGTGATGAAAGAAGAACTCCCAGAATGGTATGCCGTGGTCTGGGCTGAGTGGGGGAGGAAGAAAGTGACTGAATTTTACTTGGGGGAGTCAGGAAGGCTTGCTGGAAGAAGTGACACTAGAGCTGTGTTGGAAGGACAAGTACCAGTTCTTAGATAGGGAAGGGAGATTGGGGATCCCGACAGAAGGAACAGCACACCTGAGCGTCCTAAGTCTTAATCGTACCTTCTGGAAATCAGGAGTCCAGGAGGTTAGAACACTGGGGTGCTGTGATGGGGTGAGGCCTCCCTTACCCCTGACTGGAGCAGAGATCACAGTCCTGGGGCTAAAGGACTGAATCCAGCCTCCAAATGTATTTTATTTTAGTCTCCTGTGTGTTTGTGTACACGTGTATATACGTGTATATATTGTGTGTCTGTGCACGTGTATGTATGTGTATATATTGTGTGTGTATGTGTACACGTGTAGGTATGTGTGTGTGTCGTGTGTGTGTGTGTGTTAGCTGCCCACGTTTGAGAATAAGGAAGTTTCACATTGAAATACAGACTTCCAGCTTTCCTAGAGCAATCACAGAACCTAGGTTAGCATCCCCCTTTGTAATGAGTGGCTGAGCTGAGTATCCACTGCTCCCATAGGCAGGGGTGCACCCCTGCAGCCAACGCTGCACCCTCAGTGTGGTCAGGGGGCTGTGGTACTTGAAGAAGCTGGCTTTGACCATGTGCCCACCCCACAGGTAAAGACAGTGAAGGAGTCAGGGGTTTCACCTCCCCACACCCCTCCTTCACCACTCATGCCCACTATACCCCCAGGTGTCCTCACACAGCTGCCTGCCTGCAGTGCAGTGAGTTACTCAGAATGACTCTTCTAGCCATGGTTTTTGTGACTCCCACCGGATGACTGGGTGGAACTAGGTAAATGTGAGGTGCTCTGTGCCCCACCCCCAGGGGATTGGATAGCTCACTAGTAATGTAAAAAAGGTACATGGCACCCTTGTGGAATGGGACCATGGAAATAATGCATACGGAACCCTAACGTGGGGATTGTTCAGTTTTGCCATTCTTAAAATGAGCCATCCCAGAGCAGAAAGAGGGGCTCTCACTCCATCCAGAGAGAAGAGCTATGAGTGGAGTGCATCCTTGGACCTGAGACCCCTGGGCTGAGATGGCAGAGAGACCGTGGCAGCAGAGGCACAGAACTAGGAGACCAGCCCAAGACAGAGCAGTGGGCTTCGCAGCCCACGGAGCGCCTTTGGGAAGGAGGCTTGCTGGCCGAGTGGGTGCCCCTCTGGGCGGAGCTTTGTAACACCAGCCCAAGCAGGGCAGAGGTCAAGGCTAGCGGGAAGCATGCCTATAGCATGGCTGAGAAGAGCCTGTGCTGATCGAAGAATTGTATCCTGAGCTTTGCTGAACCTGAACTGTAACCTGTTACTTCCCTAATAAACCCCATGATCGTGAGTATTGTCTGTGAGTCCTGTGTGGCCACTACAGTGAATGACTGAACCCATCAGAGAAGTAGAGAGTGCCATGGGAGGTGGTTGGCATCAGAATTGGTAGAAAGGTTGGAGGGTAGAGGTATGTCTGACCTTCACGTCAGGAACCAGCCTTGGGCTAATGCTGCTAAGGGTCATGGTCAGAGGCAGCCACTCCCACACCTTCTTGCACTTCCCTTCCTGGCCCTGAAGACACTTGAATGTGGGACTAAACTCCCCCTCTTATTGGACAATTAGTATTTGGAACAGGGCAGCTGCTGAAATAGCGAATAACATAAATGATTTTAAGAAATGAAAGCTAGTTGTTAGTCATATTGGGTGCCCAGTCCTGCACTGAGTGTAGTCAATAATCAGGAGACTAAAACTTATTGCCATTGAGTCAATTCTGACTCATGGCAACCTCTAGTGGGTTTCTAAGGTGGGAGCAGATTGCCTCATCTTGGAACAGCCAGTAGGTTTGAACCACTAACCTTTTGGTTAGTGCCAAATGCCTTAACCACCACACCACCAGAGTTCCTTAAATAAGAAGACTAGCTGGCATTCAGGAACTCTGGTAGCAAAGTGCCTAAAGCACTTGACTGCTAACCTGAAGGCTGGCGGTTCAAACCCACCAGCCACTCCTCGGAAGGAAGGTGGGGCAATCTACTTCCGTAGTGATACTGCCTCGGAAACCCAAGGAGGGGTCTCTGTGAGTCAGGGCCGACTCGACGGCACATAACAACAACAACAACAACAACAAAGCTGGCATTTATTAAGTGCTTACTCTGAGCCCAGCACTAAGCCAAGCCCCATGTATGCGATTTCTCATGCCGTCCTTACAACAGCTTTGTCAACACTATTATCACACCCACTTTACAGATGGACAAACAGAGGTGAGGATTTACCTGAGGTCACAGAGACAGAGAATGCAAAGCTTGAGCCCTGGGGTTCATACCCTTCAGCCCTGGTTGCTGAAGATTTTCTTGCCTGTAGCCCTCAGTGTCCAAAGTCCCCAGACCTACCCGGTCCTGAGCAGGCGCTCAGCTGCCCCCCAGAAGGTCCTCATGTCCCCCGAGAGCAGCAGTGGTCCAGTCTCTCTGGCAGCAGCCACAGGTGGTGAGGAAGCGAGGGCAGTCGCGTCTGCCGGGACGTGGGAAATCCTGCGGCTTCTGCTTTTCCACCCGTTAATGAAGCCCTGTGCCACTTGGTCCCGCCCTGCTTGGGCCCACATCTCTGGGGGCTGGGCAAATGGCCTCCTCCTCCTCCTCCCCCCCCCCACCGCAGGCAGAGCCAGTGGGGGGTGTGGGAGGGTAGGAAGCCCTCTCCCGGCCACTTCTCTAATTCGATGCTGATAGCAAGGAGGTGGGGCTAGACCCATTTTAAGGAGGAGGAAACTGAGGCTCAGAGAAGGCACCTGGCTCATGAGTGGCAGCACCAGGGCTAAGCCTGTTCTGCTTCCCTTTTCCTTCTCCCGGAGTTCTGTGCCCAAAGAGGAGCCTGATCCCAGGCTTAGTGGTGAGGCCTCAGAGGAGACAATGCGTCCCCTGCAAAGACGCTTATCCAGCCCACAGCGCTGTGGTCTCCCTCTCCAGGCCCTCGCCTGTCTTCAGCAGCAGCAGACCTGGCTGCAAATCATAGCTTGTCCCTCCCTGGCTGGGTGACCTCCAGAAGGTGGCCTTACTTCTCTGAGTCTTAATCCCTCTCCTTAAAAAAGATGAATGATAGTAACAGTTAACATTTACTGAGCACTTACTACGTACCAAGGAGCTCTGGTGGTGCAGTGCCTAAGGCATTTGACTCCTAACCAGAGGATTGGCAGCTCAACCCCAACAGCCCTTCCATGGAAGGAAGGCAGGGTAATCTCTTTCTGTAAAGGTTTACTGCCTCAGAAACCCAGTGGGGGGTGGTATGAGTCAGAATTGACTCCATAGAGTGGCTTTACTATGTACCAGGCCTGCTTCTAAATGCTTTCCGTTTCAACCCCTGAGTCCCTGCTTTTAACAGCCATCTGTTGTCCCCATTCCTCAGCTCAAAGCACAGGACCCAGAGAGTTAAAGTCACTAAACCAAGCCACTCGGCTAGTGAGAGGGGAGCCAGCACCCGTTCCCCCAGCCCAGCTGTCTAGCTGCTTGGCCTTGGTGCTGTACTCAGGGCGCACTACTCGGTAAGCAAGGTAAGCACGGGCTGACTTGTGCTTACTTACAATCTGTGAAATTGTTCCCTACAGATTAGTTGGCGCGCGCAAGTAAACCCGTTCTTACCTTGCTTACCTGGCACTCCACCTTGTCAGGGGTTGTACATTTGAAAAGAGGCTCTGATTCTGTGGGAAGGTGCTGTGGGGTTGGAGAGAGGCAGATGCCAGCCATCCCTAGAAGCAGAATTTTTGATGGGGTGAAAAAATGTGAAATTGCTCACTCCAGATTAGTAAGTAAGCACAAGTAAGCCCGTGCTTACCTTGCTTATCGGGTACTCCGAAACTGGCTCTACTAGTCTCCTGGTCAAACCTCTCAGGGTTGGTGGCTGCCTTGTAAAGCATCTGGGACTGCAGGTAAACCCGCTGCTGCTGAGTCAATTCACGGTGACCCATGTATCAGACTAGAGCAGGGCTCACAGGGTTTTCACGGCTGTTTTTTTTTTTTTTTTTCTGGGAGTAGATTGCCAGGCCTTTTTTCCAAGGCACCTCTGGTGACCTTGAACTGGCACTCTTTCAGTTGGTAGCCAAGCTTATCAACCATTTGCACCATCCAGGGGCTTCAGGAGGCCTGTCCTAAACCTGCACCCTATGGGGCATCTGGACTAGTCCTGGGGTGAACCCACTGAGGGGGAGCACCCAGCTAGGAGGCATTACATGCTGCCATTTTCCCTTATAAGGACATGTTGCCTGGGCCACTTGCTCAGGCCTGAAGGAGGCTGTACTACAGCTGGACAGGGGAAGTGACATTCTCATAGTTACACAACTGAATGAGACCCCTGTGGCCACCAAACTCGGAGGGCCTAGTCATAAGCCCCTCCCGGAAGCCAGGCCTCCTGAGCCACCCAGGCTGCCAAGACCCAGGCACAGGGAGTAAGCCAGGAGCAGCACCTGTGGGGCCAGGCAGCTGAGGGAACGAACAGGGCAGGCCTGGTGGGAACGGGGCAAGCTGGAAACATAGACCCCGTCGGGAAGTGCAGCTTCTACTTGGCTCCAGAGGTGGGTAGAGACCAGATGGAAATGAGGCCCAGAATTTCCAATCTTTCCAAAGATGCCAGTCATCCCCATTCTTATATAAAAATGTTCAAGTTTTAAAAGTTAGAAACGAATTTCATTTTCAAAAAATTTAAGATTACTGTGCAGGTCAGTCTCCTCATGTCTGTGGGCCAAAAGCAAGATGAGAACCGCCAGTTTGCATCCTTCTCGGGAGATCTTAGCAGGGCGGAGGCGGGGAGCTGTGTGGTTGCTCCTCTGAACCATGGGGGCCCTGGGCTGGAGGCTGCAGATCCACACTCAAATGCCAGCTTTGGCACTTAAGTGCTGTGTGACCTTGGGCAAGACACTGACCCTCTCTGAACTTGTGTGTCCTTTGCTACCATGAGGGGGACCTCCTCAGGGCTGTCTGGGGACTCACTGAGATGTGTGTAGCACCAGTCGCCTTGGTCGACTCCGACTCACAGCGGCCCCTTTGTGTTAGAGTAGCATTGTGTTCCACAGAGTTTTCAAAAGTAAATGAGACTTCAGACTGCAACTTAAGTCCCCACCACCACCACTCGTCTCCTCCAAACAACTGTTGCAGGGTGAGAATGAGTCATCTTTGGAAGTTGATTGCCAGGGCTTTCTTTCAAGGCACCTCGGAGTGGACTCAAACTGCCAACCTTTTGGGTAGCAGCCAAGTGTGTTAACCATTCGTACCATTCAGGGACTCCAGTGTATGCCGGGTGCCTGGAAACAATAGACAAATGCTCACGTCCCCTCCCTCCAACCCGGCCAACTGCTCTGCCTGAGTGAGCACCCAGCCATAACTCTGGCCTGGGGCCACTCACATGGGAACCCTCAGGGCCCCGTACTGGCCAGAGGGCATCAGTCCTGCAAGATGCCTAGCAGTCTGCTCAGTTTCTGCTCTGGGGCCAAGAGCTGATTGGTTAAGGCCACACAGGTCATGTCCAGAAAGTGTCTGGTAGGCGGCTGAGATCTGGGAGCATAGGAGTGTGGAGCCCTGGAGGCAAAGGGTGGAAGCTATGTTTGGCTTTTCTCAGCACACGTAGGCAGTCATCTCTGCCTATATAAGGCTGTCTTGACCTCAAGGCCCCTGACATCTGACAGGGGCTTCTGACTCATCAAATGTAGAATCAGTTTCGCTGAGGGGATTTCTGGGAGGAGGATTCAGAGCCATAAGACAGAGAGGAAGAGGAAGTGGCAAGCCTTCAGAGTGGCCTGGGAGCCTGATCCGGAATCAGAGGTCCATGGACTATTAGAGCCGTTGAACTTGACAGCCTGTGGGTGTGTAATGTTGCCATGTCCAGTAGGTTGGAGAACGCACAGAGGCAGCTAAAATCTTACCCTATAGACCAGTGCTGCCCTATAGAAACAGACGGTGGGCCACCAATGCCAGCCACAGCTATCACTCATAGTTCCCCAGCAGCCACATAAAAAAGGGAGACCGATTTTAATAATATACTTTATTCAACCCAATATGTCCAAAATATTATTCTTTCAACATGCAATCAACAGAAGAATTATTAATGGGATAATTTGCATTCGGTTCTCTGGACTAAATCTTTACGGCTGGTGCGTATTTTATACTTACAGCACATCTCAGTTCAGGCCAGCCACAGTTCAGGTGTTCAACGGTCACACACCGCAAACCAGTGGCTACCACATTGGACAGCGCAGACACCGACCATTTCCATCATCACAGAAAATTCAATTTGGCCACGCCGCTCTTGGCCATTAGAATTAGTGACCACGGACGCTGAAATGGACCTTTCAGATCATGCAGCACTGGAGTCACAGATTCAAATGCTTTCAGAGGTCCCCGAAGTGACAGAGTCAAATGAAAAGCCGACGTAAGGCACTAAGGAGTGGCGGGGACTGTGGCAAACACGAGACATCAGGCTCCAACTTAAGTCCCTACCCCCACACTAAAACCCCACTGTCATTGAGTCAATTCCGACTCATGGTGACCCCTACTGGGTTTTCGAGGCAATAAATCCTTACTGCCCTGTCTTCTTTCTGTGGAGCAGCTGGTGGGTTTGAACCGCCAACCTTCTGGTTAGCAGTCAAATGCCTTAGGCACTAGGCCACCAGAGCTTCTTCGCAGGGTGCTTTAACCCCAAAACAACTGTTGCCAGGTAAGAATGAAGGTTCCACATCTTCCAATATTTTCTTTCTTAAGAGAATCCAGAAATCCAGATTTTGTGTCCATGCAGTCTTCTGAATTTTAAAGATTAGCAACTGATCTTTAGTGTAAAGCTCATACTAGCCCTCTCCTGACTCTGCCCGGGTTCTGGGCTTTCCCTGGTCACTTTTCTACCCTTTGGCCACACCTGTGTAACTAGTTCCTTCATTCATTTCTCCTCCTGTCTCCAACTTGCCAAGTTTGTGTGCTTACTGTTTCCTACTAAGACTGCTTCATTTCTCAGATGGAGAACCAAAATCTAGAACAGTAAAGAGACCTGCTTGAGGTCATATGTGAGGGGTGGAGCCAGGAGTCCGGTGTGGGTTACTGACCTCCTTCACTGACTTTTATTTCATCTTTTCTTCTGTGACATCTGTCATTACCACTCCTGTTTCTCTCCCATTTGGCTCTAATCTGTGATGTCCGTCCTGAAATCTGTATCTGTCAGTCCCATCACTGTGTACCAGCAGCCCATCACCCTGACATGTTGCCTGTTTTCCATAGTTTATTGAATTCCCCCAGTGATGCTCACCGAGGTGGGCTCCAACCCCTTGGGACCTCAAACAACACCGGCACAAACACCCTTCCACCCTGACTCTGCAGGGAACTGTGGGATAACCTTGCTGGGATATAAACATGGGAGTAGGATAACTGGCTCATAGGGAACAGGATAATGGATTCCCTAATTATGCCAAACCGTGCTCCTGGCTGCCTGTCACAGTCCCAAGCTCAGCGGCAGAACGCGAAGGCCTCTGTGTCCTCACACCTCACTGTCCCTTGTCAGATCCTTCCCAGTTTTGTCGGTCTGATTGGGGTATTGTTGAGTGTTGTTTCCAATTGTATTTCCCTGACTATGTGTGGGTCTGAGCACTTCTTTATAAGCCTGTTGGCATCTAGATGTCCCTTTTCAAAGTGGCATATTCATCTCTTGTGTTAATTTTTCTATTGAGGTTTCTGGTAAATGGCTTCCAAGGATGACAGCCAACCATTCCTCCCTTCCCTGTAACGTGTGCTGAGCGGTGGAGCCTTTTCCTTCTCCTTGAATCAGGCCAACACTGTGATTTGCCTTAACCAATAGCATATGGCAGAATTGACATGCCTGAACTTCCAAGCCCAGGCCTTAAGGGGCTTTGTCATTTTTGCTTTTGCCCCATAAGACGTCCCGTCTAGGCTCCTGCAAAGAGAAGCCCTAAAGGGTGCCATCTTGGACTCTGCAGCCCCAACTGAGTGACCTGGCCACCCCACACAGGGCAGAGACAAAGCCATCCCTACAGAGCTCTGCCCACATTCAGAAACATGAGCAAACGCATTTTGACGGTTTGGGGTGGCTTGCTATGAAGACACAGATAACAAAAGCAGGTTGTTCTTGTTTCTTCGGACTTCCCAGTGCTCCCTGCAGCCATCGTATATTTCCAGTGCCTCTCCACCACCTCTGCCATCCCCACCCCCACCACGCGGCCATGAGCACATCTGTAAGGGTGCCCTGCCTCTGCCCACAGGGGATCTCTCTCTCCCACAACGGCAAAGCCTTCAGGCATCTGGGCCGAGGAATGTCCAGGCAGGGAGTCTGATGCAGGATGGGTAGGAGTGCAGTGTTTTCTAGGATGGAGGCGTGCACAGCAGAGGGGTTGTCACTAGCCAGAGGTGGCAGACTTTCAAAGGCCCAAGTCCACATGTCCACCTTCTGCCAACAGAGGCAATCTCTCCCTGTTTGGGCCTCCAGACCTACAAATGGGCAGCCCCTGGCCTGGAATGTTTACCCCCAGACTCATACTGCCAACTCCTTTGGGGCTTAATCCAATGTCACCTCCTCCAAGAGGCCCTCCCTGACCACCCTGGTTGAAGTAGCCTCTGAGTCAGTATCACATTGGCCAGTCTGTTTCTTCATAGCCTGTCATCATTTTATGTGTTTGATAACCTGCTTACTCTTCTGTTTCCTTTGCTACCCTGTAAGCTCCATGAGGGTGGGGACAGTGAACCAGCACATAAAGACACCAACCAACCAACTGGTGGCCGTCTCGTCAGTCCTGAACTGATGGCAACTCCATGTGCATCAGAGAAGAACTGTGCTCCACAGGATTTTCAGTGGCTGTGACCGTTCAGAAGCAGGTAGTCAAGCTTTTCTTCCGAGGCAGCTCTGGGTGGATTCAAACCGCCAGTGTTTAACCATGTGCACCACCCAGCAATAAGTCATTGGTCTTGTTTAAAAGAACTAACAAATCTGTTCTGGAAGAAGTGTAGCCGGAATGCCCCTTGGAAGCAAGAATGGCTAGACTTTGTCTCACTACTTTGGTCATGTTGTCAGAAGAGACCATTCCCTGGAGAAGGATATTGTGGATATCCAAGACATCATGGTTGGTAACGTGGAGGGTCAATAAAAGAGGGGAAGGACCTCAATGAGATGGACTGACATGGTGGTTGCAGCAATGGGCTCAGGTATAGTAGGGATAGTGAGGCTGGCACAGGACCAGGCAGTGTTTCCTTCTGTTGTACATAAGGTCTCTATGAGTTTGGAGACAACTTGATGGCACATAACAACAACAACAAACCACCCAGGAATTCCAAACCAGCACATAATTCTAATACAGTTCTAATTCCAAACCAGCACAGGTTCTAAATAAATGTTTGTTGAATGAAAAAATGAGAGTGAATGAAGAAATGCACCAAACAGACCGCAGGTCAGAGGGTGAGAGCACTTGCTTATAAATTCTCGTGTAGATTCATTTACCAAATATTTAGTGAGCACCTACTATGTGCCAGAAACTGCTCTAGGTAGTGGGGTTACATCAGTGAATAAAATGAAGTTTGTATTCTCATAAGTATATATTCTACAGCAAGAGAAAGACAATAAACAAGAAAATAACAATGCCGTGTCAGGGCTAAGCATTAAGAAGAAAAATATAGCAGAGTTAGGGGATGGAGAGAAATGAGGGGCATCTTTTAGACAGGAAGCCTCCCTGGGGAGGTGACATTTGGGCAGAGACCTGAGTGAAGTAAGGGAGGAACAGAGTGTTCTAGGCAGAGGGCATGGCATGTGCAAAGGCCCTGAGGCAGAAGTGTTTGGGTGTGTGGCTGAATGGAGTGAGGGAGAGGAGAGTGGGAAGAGAGGTCACAGACGTCAATTCTGTGAACCCCCAGCCCAGGGCGTCTGGAGGCCGGATTCTCTTATGTTGTCGTTGTTTTCGGTGCTGTTGGGCCGATTCCTACTCATGTTGTTAGGTGCCATCTCACAGTGACCCCACACACACCAGAACGAAGCACTGCTCAGTCCTGCACCATGCTCACAATCACTGCTATGTGTGAGTCCACTGTTGAAGCCACCGTGTCAATCCATTTCCTTGAGGGTCTTCCTTTTTTTTTGTTGACCTGGACTTTACCAAGCATGACGTCCTTCTCCAGGGACTAATCCCTCCTGATAACACGTCCAAAGTACATGAGATGAAGTCCCGCCATCCTTGCTTCCAAGGAGCACTCTGGCTGTACCCCACAGCGACCCCGTGTGACAGAGTAGAACTGCCCCTTAGGGTTTTCTAGGTTGTAATCATTATGGGAGGAGACCTGCAGGTCTTTTCTCCCACGGAGCTGCTGGTGGGATCAAACTGATGACCTTTGGGCTGGCAGCTGCGTGCTTGAACCACTGTACCCCAGGGCTCCTCTTCCTATGTCCAGAAGGTAAATAATCTCCAGGTCCAATGTGATTCACATTCTTTATTTTATAGTCATTTCAATCAGAAGCATTTGAGATCATGAATCATCTGGCCACAGGCCTGAGGTCTTCTCTGGAAAAGCATTAGCCCATACTCTGCCCACACGTGCACCCCACCCACCCCGACAGGCTGCAACTGTATTGAAATACTGAAGTGCTCACTTGGGAAGGAGGTCTCGCTCAAGCTGGCTCAGGGCCCTCTTCTCCCTCCTCCTCTGCTCTCAGGGAAATGGCCAGGACTCCTGTGTACTTTACTCAGGATGAGTTTAGTCCCTGGCGCTACTTCCTGCTGGTGCAGCTGGAAAACCTGGTACCTCCAGGGTACATCGGAAGACAGTGTGAGTTCTGAGTCCCTGGGCTGTTGCATTTTTTGAGGCTGAGCTCATGCTGGCCCAGTCTTTTGGTAGACACTTGCCAAGTGTCTTCTGTATGTGTTGTTGTGTGCCCTCAAGTTGATTCCAACTCATAGTGACCCTAAGGGACAGAGTAGAACTGCCCCCATAGGTTTCCTAGGCTGCATTCTTTACGGGAGCACATCTCCAGGCCTACTCTCCTGCAGTGCACCTGGTGGGTTCAAACCCCAGACCTTCTGGTTGGCATCTGAGCCCTTAACCACTACTACCAGGCCTCCTTCTCCTGGACCTAATATTGCGCTACTCATTAGAGATGGTAAGATGCCTAAAAAACCATGAGGCCTGAGTCCTCCAGGACTCAGCTTTCCTGTCTGCAAAAGGGACTGCATGCAACATTATCACCTGCCTGAGACCTTTGACAAGGCCCTGATTTCTCTTCTGACTTTCCTCTCGGCCCTGAACAGCATGGCCTTTGCTAATTGAACATGCTCACCATTTAGGATGGGTGTGGGGAGGTCAAGTTCAGCTGCAGAAGCAGTGACCACATTCAGGAGGGTCCAGGCTGGTGGGGCTGAGGGTCACCTGCTAGAGGGCAGGGCCCAAGCTTGACCTGACCCCGGAGTTATGACTAAACTGAATCATATTGAGCAGGAAAATCCTATAAAGGTTGGGTAGAGAAGTTGGCTGGCATTGCTACAATTCCCTAACATGCTTTGGAGCCGAGAGAAGCAACCTGGTCCTTCTCCCAGGCCCCAGAAATGGGAACTATCTCTGGTACCGAAGAGGCACCAACCAAACAGAACACCCACCAGTGGTTAACAGCTGAACAACTGGACTGGAACAATTCAGTACCAAATTCCTCTCTGAGGAAAATGATTGCCAAAGGCAAGATGATGTCTTCAGAGTATTACCCTATTAGGGATTGAATTATGTCCCCCAAAATGTGCTTTAAACCCTGACCTCTATGCCTGTGCTTAGAATCCCATTTGGAATGGACTGTCTTTGTTCTGTTCATGAGGCAGGATTAGTGTGGGGTATATCTTGAGCCAATCTCTTCTGAGATATAAAAGAGATAAAACTAGCCAGCAGAGCATGGATGGGGGAAGAGAAATGCCAAGCCATGTGAAGACTGCCCAGGAGCAGAAGCTCAAAGAGACAAGGACTTTCCTGTACAGTGGACAGAGAAGGTCTTGCCCCAGAGCTGGCGCCCTGAATTTGGACTTCTAGCCTCCTGAACTGTGAGAAAATAAATTTGTTTATTCAAGCCACCATATGTGGTATTTCTATAATAGCAGCACTAGATAACTAAGACACACCTAACATGTTAGTCTGGGGAAATGCTCAACTGCGCCCATTGGGATGGATGGCCGTCCCAATGGGGCTAGAGGAAGACCATTCCAGATTCACTGCATTCGGGCTCTCTTGCATCCTTGTCACAGAATAGCTCAGCGATAAAGGAGCTTTTTCGTCACAAAGCAGATCTGGGAGATATCAGAGCCCTGAAACGCATGAGGGAGAATGAGAAAGTGTCTTAGAAAATAAGCCTGTGGGTCTGAGTGGACCACTGGTGGTCACCTTTACTTACTGCATACTGGATCACAGAAAAGAATTGCTTGATGGCCCATGGAGTCCTTGGCAGCAAGTGTTGGTGACAGCCCTCTGGGAGGGCCCAACCCAAGGGGAGTCAGTCCCCTGTGGGAAGTCAGAGAGTCCGAAGTGTGCTGTTGATCAAGGTGGGTGGTAGCGCCGTGACATTGGCTAAGTGGATGTTGGCCCAGACTGGAAAGGTGCCCAGCTGGAAGATGGTCTGTGCCCAGGTATTTATGGCCAAGTTGAGCAGCAGGACGCCCATCAAGTTCATCAGGAATCCCGTCCGTACCTGAAATGGAGCCCAGACTGAGAGAGGGGATGCAGTGTGCCCATTGTAAAGATGGAGAAAACCCAGCCTCAGAGACAGGAAGTCATTCACCTAAGATCTCACAGCTGGGAAGTGATAGAGCCAGGACACAAAACCAGGTCAGTCTACGCCCAAGACCCTTTGATCTTTACACTACCCTGGCCTTTTCAATCACCTCATATGCATGTGAAAACTGGACAATGAAAAAGGAAGACAGAACGGATGCATTCCAATTGTGGTGCCGGCAAAGAATACTGAACGGACTGTGGGCTGCCAGAAGGAACAAATCTCCCTTAGAAGAAATGCAACCAGAACGCACGTTAGAATGAAGATGGTGAGACCTCAGCTAGTTTACTCCGGACACGTCATCAGGTAAGAACCAATTGCTGGAGAAGGACATTATGCTTGGTCAAGCAGAGGGTCAGGGAAACCCTCAGTGTAACGGACTGACACGGTAGCCAAAGTCATGAAGATGGCACGGGGCCAGGCAGCAGTTAGCTCCGTTGTTCATAAGGTCGCCATATGTCGGAGCTGACTTGCTGGCAACTGATAACAGCTGCAAGGCTGTCCCAAGTTGCTGCAGCTGGTCCCCACTTGTAGAGTGGTTTCTAGATGCCAGACACTGAGCAGCCCTTGTCACAGGTTATGTCATTTAACTCCTGTTCTACCCATTGTCTCAGAGTTGATTCCGACTCCTAGTGACCCTACAGGACAGAGTAGAACTGCCCCATGGGTTTCCAAGGCTGTAATCTTTAGGGAAGCTGATTGCCACATCTTTCTCCTGCTGAGTGGCTGGCGGGTTCCAACTGCCAACCTTCTGGTAAGCAGCCAAGTGCCTAACTCATTACTCCCAGGGAGTAACATATGCAAGTAGCCATGCCCTGCTCAGGACGAGCAATGTCTCTCCATCCTCTTCTATCTCTTTCTGCTCCTCGACATTGCTTAGCAGGTCTCCGTCACCACCAGGTGCTGGTTCACCAGAAGGAGCCTGCCCACCACGAGGAGCCCGCCCACCGCGAGGAGCCCGCCCTCTTCTCCAGGCCTCAGTCTGAAGATTCCAGACTCACCATGTCCTTGACCATTAAGTGTCCAGAGGCGAAGGCGATTGAGTTGGGGGGCGTCGAGACTGGGAGCATGAAGGCGTAGGAGCAGCCGACTGTGCCGGGAATCATCACGTACAGGGGGTTCACTCGCAGGCGGATGGCCTGGGCCAGGAGGGGGCCGGAGAGACCAAGACACAGACAAATACAGGGAGGCCATAACCAGAGGTAGAGACGGAGTCAGAAAGAGAGTGACACACAGTCATAGAGATTCAAAGAGGTGGGCAGAGGCAGGAGAGAGGACAATGACGTATGGACAGATACCGGAAGAGTGACAGACAGCAATCAAGAGCAAATGAGCAAAGCCAATTTAGACAGAGAGAAAGGCAGCCACAGAGACCGAACAGAAGGGCCCCAGACCAAGCGCAAGCGGGAGAGAACAGCGAGGTTAGTGACAATGGGGCCGCCTTGCTGGCTCACCTGAAGGACAGGCTGGGGACTTATGGGAACTCTCTTCCCAAGTTTGAGCCAATCAGAGTCACCTGAAGGGCTTGCTAAAACCTGACTGCGGGGTCCCAGTGCCCAGCCTTTGATTCAGTAACAGGAGGCGGGGCGAGTTTTCACTCTACTTTGTATCAGAATCATCTGGAGGTTTGTTAATGTGCAGACTGCAGGCCCACCTCCAGTGTTTCAGACTCCTGACTGGAAAGGGTTTGGGCTGGGACCAGAGCATGTGCATTTCTAACGAGGGGATGCTGCTAGTCTGGGGACCACAGTACAAACCCAAACCCAAACCCACTGCTGGCAAGTAGATTTCCAACTCATAGCGACCCTGAGGGACAGAGTAGAACTGCCTTGTAGGGTTTGCAAGGCTGCAAATCCTACTGGAAGCTGGATTGCCACATTTTTCCCCTGGAAGCGGCTGGTGGGTTCGAACTGAGATCTTCTCCTTTAGCAGCTGAGTGCTTAAACACTGCACCACCAGGGACACTGCTGATGAAAACTAGGGCTCTAAACTAACCAACCGCCCCCCCCCCCCCGTGCCTGGTCTGGATGTCAGAGAGAGCTCCAAATGGCACTTGCTGGCCAGCGTTACCAGGGCAGTGGGTACTATTTGGAGAGTCTTGGCTGTCACAGCTGGGCGAGGGGTGCTGCTGGCATCTAGGGGGTGGAGACCAGCATCCCCCTGAAGTTGCCCATCCCAGGTTATTCAGAGAGAGTCTAGAGTGCTAAGGAGCTCTCTTGGTGCGGTGTGCAAGGCAGTTGATTGCTAACCAGAAGTTTGGGGGCTCAAACCCACAAGCTGCTCTGCAGAAGGAAGATGGGGCAATCTACTTCCGTAAAGATTTACAGCCTGGGAAACCCAGTGTGTGTGTGGGGGGTCTCTGTGAGTCCGAATCAACTGGATGGCAGCAAGTTTGGTTTGGAGTTGAGAGCCTTGCCTGCCGCTAGAATTCTTCCTGTGGTTGCTGGTCTGTTCAGACTTTCTACTTCCTCTAACTCCAAATCGGTATGCATATTTCCCTAGAAAGCTCTCCGCATCACTGGGTTTCCCTGCACTGCAAACCGATTTAGTGTACTTAGAAAATATTTACTCTATTTAAGCATTTCTTGAAGGAAAAAAAAAAAAAACACAACAGTATTTCTTAAACATCACACTGTGGTTCTGAACTTCCACGCATTTTGAAAGTGAGCCGTGGTAACTGCGCCCCCTGAGGGAGCCCCCTGGAACCCGGAAGAGGTTTCTGAATGTGTGTTGGTAGGGGGCAGGAACGTTCCTCCCCCGCCTGCCTGCGCGCACCCCGCCCCCGCCCCCGCCCCGACCCTCACCAGCTCGGCCAGCACGGGCAGGAAGATGATGGTGGCTGCGGTGTTGCTGGCGAACTCCGTGAAGAAGGCGATGACCACGGTGATGAGCAGGACGGCCAGCATGGGCGGCACGTTTTCCAGGGGGCGTAGCTGCGTGCCGATCCACGCCGACAGCCCCGACTCCTGCGGGAGGGGAGGGGCGAGAGGGCTCTGCTCACTCATCCCACCACCCCGCGCCAAGCCCCCTGGGTGCGCCCAGCATAGAGGGTTAGGAGCCGTCATGAGGATGACATTATGCCCCGCCATGAATGGAGACGGAGGTTCAGAGAGGGTGAGTGACCTGTGCAAGGTCAAACAGCAGCAAAGCCAGGCTGGCATTCAGCTTCCCTCCTTCTTGGGTTGCCTCTCTGCTCCCTGCTCTACAGGGTTTGATCCTAACTATGACTGCTTGAAGAAATCAGGGCACAGAGACATTTATACACCCCTGGACCCCCAAATAACCCCCCTTGGCTCTAGGACCCATAAACTGTAAATTAGGTGGGAGAGAGGAATCAGACCTTCCAGGTAAATCTCATCCCGCCTTACAGAAGTAGATTGCCCAGTCTTCCTTCCACAGAGCTGCTGGTGGGTTTGAACTGCCAGTCTTCCAGTTAGCAGTCAAATGCCTTAGGCACTACACCACCAGAGCTCCTTAACTTTATATATAATGAGATATTAATATGTAACCCATATATAATACATATAAGATAGACATTATAAGTATGTATAATACAAAACATGATCAGCTATATATCGAACATAATACAATTAATGCTTATCAACAATGAAGATATTTATGATCAGCAGTAAGGATAATGATTACGATGAATAATAATAATGTAAGTATTAATGGCATTAATATTGTGTTATTATCCACCATCCCTGAGGCTCTTAGGGCACTAAGTGCCCCATAAAGCCTCAAAGATGCATTGTTGACTGCTGACTCCTTCTATCCATCCCACAGGGTAGATATTATCCTTTCTGTAGAGGGGAGCCCCTGGGGGGGGTGCAAACGGTTAGTGCGCTTAGCTGCTAACTGGAGGGTTGCAGGTTCAAGTCCATCCAGATGTGACTCAGAAGAAGGACCTGAGGACTCGGCCATTGGCAGTCCTGTGGCACACAGATCTACCTGACGCGTGTGGGGTCCCCAGGAGCTGGCGTCGACTTGTCCGCAACTGGATTTATTTTACAGACGGGGAACTGGACTAGGAAGGTTTTGGTGACTTGCCTCAGGTTCCCCAAAGTGGTGTCTGAGCCTTGTTTCACACTCAGGGCCATCGACCTGCACAAGCTAACATGCTCCTCTGAAGGTCCCTGCCACCCAGGCACCCTCCTCTGGACACGCTAGTCTGTTACCGCCCCTCTCAACCAAGGAGCAGTGCCCAGAGCTGGCCACAGTGCCCCAGGACAGAGAAGGGGCCGGCCAGATCTACTCTGCTCCTTAACCACTGCTCTCTCCACTGACTTCTGCGGCAGTCACTCTGCTGGTGAGCACGTAGTATGTATTCCCCACCTATGCTCTCCCGTCATCAGCGTGTCCTTAAATCATCCTGAGTCTCTGGTGGTGTACTGGTAAGGCACTGCGCTGCTAACCAGAAGGTCAGTGGTTCAAACCCACAAGCCGCTCTGCAGAAGGAAGATGGGGAGATCTACTTCCGTAAAGATTTCCAGCCTTGGAAACCCAATGGGGGTTGCTATGAGTCAGAATCTTGATGGCAGCGAGTTTGGTTTTGGTTTTGTGACCCCCAAAGCAGCAAAGCTGCAAGATGTAAAATGTGCTCTGTGCTACCCCCTAGTGGTGCCGTGCAGCAATAGCGCAATAAATCAACAAAGGGACAACCTATAGATCATTTTTTTGAACAAAGATAACAAGCCAGGGGCTTAGAAGCTGGTCAAGGGTAGAGCTGGCTTAGTTCCCTAAAACCTATCATGTGGAATCAACTATATTTCTACCATAGTCATGCTTTTAAACCCAATATCTTCTGGTACCAATACATTTTGTTTTATCAAAGGAACTTTATATTTTAGGTGCAATAGAAAAATTGTTACCTATATCTCTGGTAGCTTGTTGTTATGTGCCGTCGAGTCGGCCCCGACTCATAGCGACCCCTCCTTGGGTTTCCGAGGCGGTATCACTACGGAAGTAGGATTGCCCAACCTTCCTTCCGAGGAGTGGCTGATGGGTTTGAACCGCCAGCCTTCTGGTTAGCAGTCAAGTGCTTTAGCCACTATGCTAACCAGAAGGCTGGCAGTTCAAACCCACCAGCCACTCCTCGGAAGGAAGGTTGGGCAATCCTACTTCCGTAGTGATACCGCCTCGGAAACCCAAGGAGGGGTCGCTATGAGTCAGGTCCCACTCGATGGCACATAACAACAACAACAACAACATCCAGAGCTTAACATTTCATAATGGATTCTAGAATACAGCATACTGATTTTATATAAACAAAATAATATAGTCCTCCCTACAACTTGAATTAAAAGTCACCTTCACTTCACAAATACCATATTTTTCACATATAATGCACCTATGTAAATAGCACATATATACAGATAACATGCATAGGAAACTAAGGTGCCAGGGGTTGTGCTGTTTGCAAAAAGCATATAAGTGCACATTGTTTGCATAAAATATGGTAATACATGCTTAAATATAGTTTCCCTTAAAAAAAAAAACAGTCCTTGTAGACTACAGGTGCTTCTTTGACACTGCACCTTTGTCTGATAGGTTGGCAAGTAGGGTACCTGCCAGAGCCAAGGCCCCAGGGCCTCTCCTGACCTAGGAAGCTCTGCAAGGAAGAAACGGGGCCACTGGTTCTCCCCACAGACCACTGTTCTGGCACAGAGCGACAGCAGTGTGCACGATTAAGGGGAGAGAGGCTGGTGACAGGGAATATTAATGACCTGGGCAAGTGAGAAGCCAAGAGCTTCCCTGTAGCTGGGCCTCAGAGTCACAGGCTTCCAGCCAATGTCCCAGCTGCCCCTCAGGTCCTTGGCTCGGCTTCTGGAGCTGGAGGGAGGTCTGGAAGCTCCATGAGAGAGGAGAACCCCAGTGGTGAACCCCAGTGGCCTGGGGTTCTCTTGGGGACTCCAAAGGGGCCTCACCAGCCCTTTCTCATTCCCTCAGGAATCAGAAGCTCCATTTCCTTGGAAACTCACTGCTCCCAAAGAATTCCCAGGGACTCTGGGGACCAAGAGCAGGCACGGTGAGAGGCAGCGTGGCTGGAAGGGGGCAGAGAAAGGGCCCTGGCTTCAGCTTCATCACTTTCTGGTTGTGTCGTCTTGGACAAGTGACTTAACGTCTCCATGCTTCAGTTTCCCTACCTGTCAGCCGGGGATAATCACAGTACCTGTCTCAGAGAGATGTTGGGAGAAAGGGAGCTAGTCTATAAAGCACTTAGGAAAGTGCTTGGGCTCGTGGTGTGGGCCCATACATGTCAGCTGGGGTTAGTAACAGCAAAGTCACAAGATGCTAGCAATGGCAGAATACTCAGCAATCACCCAATGCTCTGGTTCTCAAACTGTGTTCCTTAGGGCCCCCAAAGATGCCAAGAAGTGCTTGTGGCTGCCTTGAGGAGCTGGGGTGGGGGAAGGCTGAACCGGCAGGATGGAGCTCCCCTCATCCTTCCCTCCCACTTCCACCAGGTCTTCCCCCCTCGACCTCTTTTATATACAGTATAGTCGCATCTCAGGAGCCCTGGCAGAACAGTGCTTAAGCATTTGGCTGCTAACAAGCAGGTCAGCAGTTCAAACCCACAAGCTGCTCTATGGGAGCAAGATGTGACAAGTTTGCTTCCCAAAGAGATTTATAACCTTGGAAACCCTATGGGGGCAGTTCTGCTCTGTCCTAGAGGATCACTGTAAGTTGGAATCAACTTGATGGCAATGAGCATGGTCTTTTAATGGGTAGGACCACATCATATAAGGAGGGTGTTCAGTTCAATGTTCAAAATAGAAATGTATGGTCAAGAATACCTTTGAAAAGCTCTTACAAGGCCCTAAGACACGGCAGACTTGACTGTGTGTATACAACTCTGTATAATAATTTCCAGGTGGAGAGAGTCAGAGAATTTGATTAAAGGAAGGAAAAAAGAGAAGGCTTTATGGCCACGTGTGGACCTTCAAACCCTCCTGCCACTTACAAGCTATGTGGCCTTGGGCAAATTAATGAGTGTCTCTGTGTCTTCATTTCTTCAAGGGGTTATGGTAAGAATTGAGTAAGTACACATAAAACAGTCCTGTAACAGACTGTAGTGCATATGATTCTTTTATTATTTACTTAATTTAACAAACACTTAACCTAGTACTTAAGGAGCTCTGGTCATGTAGTCAGTGGTTCACACCCACTGCCTGCTTCACGGAAGGAACATGGGGCAATCTACTTCCATAATCCAACGGACGCCACTATGAGTTGGAATTGACTCGATGTCAGTGAGCTTGGTTTGGTTTTGGGATATAGGACTCATTCTCCACTGAGCACTGTCCTAAGCACTTGGCTAATATTGTCTTATTTAATCTTCGTCACAGCTCCATGAGGTTGGTACTATGATTATCCCCTTCTTGTAGGTGAAGAAACTCAGGCTCAAAGACATTAAGTGGTTTGCTGAAATAAGTGAAGTGACTTGCCCTAGGGTTGGAATTTAAAACCAGAATCCAGCTTTTAATCACTTTCCCAGCCTGCCTGTCCGACCAGGTGACCACGATAAAGGTGACTGCCAGCAACCTAGCAGAGAATGAGGGGCTGGGGCGGGCACCCACGTCTCCACCGTGTTTGTTGTGGTGGAAATGAAGTAAGATATACGGGAAGGTGTCAGGGCAAGACCGTCTCTCACCTATGAGCTAGTAAAAAATAACAGTCGTGAAGATGATCGGGGCTCCTGGTTTTAGCAGCTGGTATGTGCCAGTGCCCTGCTAGGCACTGCCCATACGTTATATAATCAATGCTCAAAACAGCCCCTCTTGTAGGTTGTGTCCACTTTGTAGGTACCACTATGTACTGGGGCTCTGCTAGATGCTGGGAGCAGTGGAGAGAGCAACACAGATGAGGTCCCTGCCTTCATGGAGCGTCTGTCTAATAGCAGAGACGATCAGTAACCAACAAATGAATAAGATCATTGAGACGGTGACACCAGCTGCCATGCAGT